ACTTCAAAATTTGTTCCTCTTCTCTCCTTTCTGATTATCCTCTTCCTTCTCTTTAACTCTCCCACCCTCCTTCTCCATCCCTTTCTTCAGTGCCTGTCTCTATCTCTTCTGTAGCTAATTGCATTTAAATTTTTTTCTGGCGTAATCTTGCGATAGCCTCAAGCTTCAGCAAACCCCCTTCACTCCTCCAAAAACCCACATCAGTCCATTTGTGCCTCGTCCTGGGCAGGTTGATTTCTTGGGCTGCCCTGGAGGAAATATCAGATGACCTGGCACTCTATTGCAAAACCCAGGTCATCAGAGAGGACTTCTTTCACTGCAACCCTCCTTTGGCCCCCTCTCATCCACTTCCTGCTTTCAAGTGCATGGCAAGGTCAAAGCTTTGAGGATGCATTCCCTCTACTTCACCACGAGGCAGGCTGGAGGCGCTGTGCTCAACTCTCAAACCAGACTTTGCTCCATCTATTCTTTCACATCTTCCTGCTCCCTCATATTCATTTCATTAGCTCAAGCTTTTACTGCAATCAATACTGTTACTAAAGTTAGTTTTTCTAATACAGCTATTCATTACATGCCTCTTCATTAGTGTCACTAGAGCACCAGTAGAACTGGAATAATACTGTAATGGACAAACATATGATGTAATTGTTGAATCCTCTTTTTGGGGTGATGAAGACTGGTTTTATTTGGCTGAGCTCACAAAGACTGAGGCATTACTTTGTTTTTACATAATGCGTCTGGTAAATTGTGGGTTTTAAAACCTAATTTACATTTTCAGACAGTGATGTAACTTGTGATATTTTAATGTAGGGGTGACACAGAAGGGAACATGCCTCAGAGTCTTGTTCTCCCAGCTGTGTATCATTCTCACCTCTTATCTTCTGTCAGCTCAAATGCACTGCGAATGCAGAAGGAAAAGGGAGACATTATGAATGGTGCTTTAGAGACAGGTGTCTGATGTGTCTTGAGATGAGGCCAAAAGACTCCTATCTCTTTTTCTAATGGAACAACAACAGTTGTTTCAAGTCATCAGGTCTGTCATCCAAATGCTCAAACTGTGGTCTTCTCAACACCTCTCTTTTGCCCCATAAATCAGTGTTGGTAGTGAGAGAGAGAGAAGCAGAGGGAACAACCAAACAATCTAGCTTCAGGTCATCCCAGGTCAGTGAATGTACCATGGAATATCTCCATCAAACACTTGTGTCAATTTTGAATGGCTTTTATTCAATAAATAAGCACAAGGATCTAATAGAATTCATCTCAGCAAACATAAGAACAGCTGCTTCTAAAATTGTCATTAGTAATTTTGAGGCAATTAAAATATGGAATGAGTCAAATAGTATTTTTTATTTTTCTGTGAGTTTACTGCTCCCACGGCCGCCTTCCTTGGTGCACAGAAGTGAAACAGGATGAATGTGTTAGCGCCATCTCCAATTTCAAATAGGTAGACATTTCAAAAGCTGATTCTCTTGGGAGGAAATGTTGTACCTCCAGAGTGAAAATATCAATTGAAAGGCGAGACAGTAAAAGCCAGTCATCTCAAAATGAAAATTTTCTTATGGGTGCTTTCCTTTTCACCTCAGCGGTTATGGAAAAGGGAAAAAAGTGAGAGTGAGTGAGAGTCAGAAAGGATATGGTGTGTGGCAGCTACAAGGATAGAGAACTACTGTAGAGCGAAGACACACTGATGAATACACAGGAGTGACACCTCCTGAAGAGCATGTTAATAACTTGCCAGGTCCAGACAGGTAACCAGTAATCAGACTCTGATTGTAACACCGTAGACATAAACACACACGCAAACACTCCCGGCTCTCCATCTCCATCGGCCCTGAAACTGCTAGACTGCTCCGTCATGTTCTGGGGCAGCCCCCTCTGCTAACAGTGTGTCACAGCCCTTACAGAGACAAAAGAAACAAATGAGATGGCTGGGTTACAACAAACAGCTCCAGGTTGTTCTTTCCCCGGGAAAATGAACCCCCACCCCCCGTTCTGCAACCACTGTGTCAATTAGAGGAGGTATTGCTCAGTCACTTTCTGCTTGACTGCTAGCTTGCACTAATTGTTATTTATTTAGATCAGGCATGAAGTTGAATGTGTCTCATTTTAAGCTGTGCAGAATATAGCTCACACTGATCCAGTGGGCAGTGGTGGAGGAAGCTCTCAGATTGTTTACTTAAGTAAAAGTAGCAATAGCACAGTGTAAATATGGTCTGTTACAACTACAATTTAAAGTTCTGTATTCAAAATGTTACTTAAGTAAAAGTACAAAAGTGTTAGTGTCAAAATATACTTAAAGTACTAAAAGTAAAAAACCACATTATGCAGAAAGGCACAGTTAGCATTAATGTTTATCATATAATTGGACTGCATCACATTTAATGTTGCAGTTAATGTTAACTACCTTTACAAGCTTTCAGTTTGAATTACTGCTGGGTACCTTGTGAATTTCCCACCAGAGATCAATAAAGTTTTATGATTATTCTTTTGTTTTTTTGTGTATTAATCTCTTTCTGAAAAGTAACTAGTAACTAAAGTTATGAGATAAATGTAGTGCAGTAACAAAGTACAATATTTTTTTTAAATGTACTTTGTTACTTTCCACCTGTGAAAGTATTCAGTATCTCTGTAACACCTGGAGACAAACCCTAGCAGAGTGTTGCAGTGATGCAGAGCAGGCCGTAGGCATGGAGGTCAGCAGATAGAGTCGCGAGTCCACTGAGAGCTGCTGGTTTGACTTTGATGCACCATCGGTCTTCAGCACGTCACTTCCCCCTCCACCACTTTTACACTGTCCTGCAAACATGTTTGCTCAACCTGAATGCACGCTAGCCTCTCATTATGCTGCCCATGCAAACTTTGTCTTTTTGCAGCTGTTTAATGGCTGAACGTCTGTTTTTGTTTGTTTCCTCACTATAAGATTATTGCATCTTTATGGCTGGTCAGGGGATTGGAATAATCCCTGGCATCTGTTCAGAGCGGGAGGGGTGCACAAAGAGCCAGAGGTGGAGGCTCGCTTCTGCCTTTTTGTTTATGTTTGTATTTTCTTTGTTTGTTTTGTTTTACTATGAGACCATGCAGCCCCCCTATTTCATCCTCTGCCACTGGGGCTGGATTTTAAAGACAAGAGTGATGGAAGGGAAGTGTGCTAACAAGCACAGAGGTCACTGAAGGAGCTTCCTGCTGCTGTTTATCCCCCCAACAATGAACAGAGAATAGCAAGGATTAATCTAATCAATGGCATGGCAGTCTCATTTATGCATGTATGCAGAAAAGTAACTTGTAGTAAAGAGCTTTTTTTCTTACCTGAACATTGTGATTGTTTTTTATTACGACTAAAGTTACACTTCCTCCATATGTTTTCAAGATTTTTTGAGGGGATACTTGTTCAAAAGGGTTGTGGGCTGTAGATACTGTTGTAATTTTCCCTGCTTTATTGTTTTTTCCCCCTGTGGTATAGCAGAAGTTATGAAGGAGAGGAGTAGCCCTGAGCTCCTCTTGATAGTCTCTTCCCCTTCCTAACTTTTTCTTAATTCAAGACTCCATCTTGTCATGGCTTCAGTGCCTCCGGTCATTATGGCAGGAGAACAGGAAGTTAATCAACGCAGCATTATCTCCCAGCCTGCAGCTGGAGGCAAAGGTGCCAGTCATGCTACCACCCTCTCTGTGGTGGGATCCCTGCCAGCCTGGGAACCCCTCACGCTGCAGCGCCCTGCAGCATCCCTATGGGCTATTGCCAGTGTGCTGTGTCTGTGCCAGGTCACTTGTGACACAGCCTTGATGAGCCAATGGGAGCCTTCGTGCGGTGGTTTAGTGTGTGTGTGTGTGTGTGTGTGTGTGTGTGTACAAACTGAAAACAAGGAAGGAAAAATAAACACTTTCAGTTTTTGTGATCTCTTTGTGCTGTCACATACGTCTCATATTTTTCCAATTTTTGCAGTGCAGTCGGTGCTTTTTTGGAGGCATTATTGCTCCATGTGGACAGGCAAAGTAACAACATAAAGCCCCGGAGGAGACTTGTTTCAAACTCGAGCTTCACAGAGCAAACAACACAATGTTTGAACAACATATTCACACTTAAAGGATTGTTGACTCTCCAACATCAGGCGAGACGCGAATCCTCAGAAACTGAATAGATGATATTTTTGTGGAAGATGGCAGCAGGTCTGTCCTTGTGTCTAGCTCTCTCTAACAGTCTGCGAAGCTGACAAATGTTCTTGCTGAAGAGTGAATTGCAGGCTGTCACTGGTAATCATTAGGTTGTCTACCAGCATCCAAAGTGCTTTTATTTCTGCCCATTAGTTTGGTGATAAAATGGCCGGGTATGGTCTGGCATGTTCTCCCTTAGACTCAGACTTGTGCAGTAGGCAGGGCGAACATGGGAAACATGAAAGTGTTTGAAGTGTCTCTATTTATGCCAGTGGCAGTTTGGGCTTTTTTTTTTTAACTTCAGTGTCTGTAGCATCTCTTTGTGCACAACTGTCTCAAAAGGATCTACAGCTTTTTCTAAAGTAGCAGTATACACGTGTGTCAATATTGTGAGACTGGTGCGTAATTATTATTCAGAGTTAAAGAGTGGATTGATCCATAGAGGAGTGTCAAAGGCAGATCAAAGGGATTTGGGGGAGGATCGGACCAAAAATGTTAAAAGCTGCTCGCTCTCAAACACAGAGACGTCAATCTCTTCGAGAGCACCTTGATGTCCTCGGAGGAGAACCTGATCAAAGCTTTTGTAACAGAGATGGTCTCAGAAGATGTTTTGACCTCAGCTGCATTCCGCTTCTGTCTTTCACTTTACCTTCGCCGGCCTCCATTTACCTGCCTGAGCTCCCTGGCGTTGCCCCTGTTTCTGTCTTTCCTGTGTTTGTGCTGCTGGATCGACTGTCTGAATTTCAATGAAGCAGTCTCAGCGATGTATTACAAACACAAGGGAACAGTGATTAAAGATGACATATCTAAGCCTGACTCCCGTCCTCTCTCCTCTCTTCTCTTTTTCACAGGAGATTGCAGCTTACTTGATAACATTTGAAAAGCATGAAGAATGGCTAACAACATCCCCTAAAACAAGGTAAGACATTAACACTGCCCTCTTTTAAAACATAACTTAAGATTCATAGCCCTAAAAATATTACATTTGTAGTTTGACATATTTTCTTTCTTCAAGACCGTTTTCCTTATGCACAGCCTACAACCTCCTTCAAGCTGAGTGCAGGATGTTTAATATTACAGGCTGCTCGTGGCTGTTCACAGAAGTTTGCAGATAAATGATAGAATATTAATATTCACTAATAATTGCCTTTTAGCAAGTCAATTAGCATAACATGCACTGGTGCAGCATCTGCTTTGAATGGCATGTTAATGTGTTCCTATCTGTCTCAGCATTAACCACTCAACTAATAACACTGTTGAAGCTCGGGGTGTTTGCCTGGGTCACACGTTACACCCACGTGGAACAAAATGCCAAGAGCTACTGTGATATTTGAAACTGAGTAAAATGGGTACCAGTATTGCAGTTAATTTATTTTGTTAATGTATGCAAATGCATATAGGGCTAATTTGCAAATGAAGAACATGTTCTCCTTGACTTCTTTGCAAACTTTAACACTTTAAATTTAATGTCAGCAAGCAAATACATTTTGTGGTAGCACTGGCTTCCATGTAATTATATATTCTATGTAGAATACTAATTAATAATGCCTGTGACTTTGTAATAGCATTCCTCTACTTTTGTCTGTTTGAGTAAGATCTTCATGATTGGCCTCTGCCATGTCATTCCTCTGTCATGAATTCTACTGTTGCACAGTCAGGCCACACAGTCTTTGCTATGGCAAATGTAGCCTGCTCACACAGAATCTCCTCTACAAACGTTCACATGTTCATGCATTTGGAATCAGCTCAATATGTTAAACCTTTCTTCCTCTTTTTCTGTGAGCCTGGATTGTGATGCTGGCATTAATAGCAGTCCTCATCCATGTGTAAATGGACCCTGGGCTCACTGACATAGAACCCATTCTTCACTTCCCTCTCCCCACCTCTCCTCTCTTCCCCTGCCTTGGAGGGACATTGATAATAGTTCTGCATAAAGGCACTGCCAATTAGAATACATTCTTTGGTGTGATTATAGTGCATGGGCCGTAGGAGCCAAGGGTCACTTTTTTTTTTTTTTAAATCAGGTACACACCCTCCTCACCAAGCCACTACTTTCTAACTCACCAGAACTGAAAACAGTTTTAGGCTTATTTAAATCATAAAATGTGGTTGGTATAACACTCACCTTTATTACGTTGTCCAGAACATTCAGGTGCTGTGGTGCTGTCGCTGTTTGTACTATGCTGTAGTATGACATTAAGGAACAAATGTAATAGGGTTAAAATCAACAAAAAACAGACTGTGAAGGGTACTAGAGCATTACAAATGTCAGAGAGCTGCTGTAGCATCCTTGAGCACAACACAGCCTGAAAATGACACTTGTATGATGATGGGCTAACTAGCCAAATGGTCCTCGGGATGCTCATGGCCACAGCCTGTCACCACTGGCTGTCTGTTATTCAGAGGTTTTAGCTGCCAGTGTGCTCAGGGATTTTAACCCCATGTCAGGTCTCAGTGTAGGTGCTGATAACTCAGCAAATGTGTGAACGGGGAGCAAGCCCTAATGGACACCTGCAGATTCCCTGACAGCACAACAACCTATTCCATGTTTTAGAGGAGCCATCATTTTAGAATAAGAATAAAAAGCATGGAGAGAGAATGTGAAGTGTTTGTGTTTTCCTGGATGTCAGTGAAAGAGTACTGTAGAGTGTAGTGATGAATGTTTGGGCTATGCAAGGTTGGGGGAGGAAAAGGGTGAGGCATACACTGTATGTGTAATTGATGGGAGCTGATTGATGGCTGGCCTCCATATGAAACACTTTCTGCTTAAGGTCATGAGTGAAAGGTCAAACTCGGCCTTATCATTTGTCATCACCTATATCTTTGAGTGCCTGTGGGTGTGTGTGCATCTGATTGTAAAAGTGTTGCTGGTATGTCTGCGTGTGGTTTGACCCCTGTGGGAAATAGGCTAAGTAGGCTAATTCTCCCCCTGCCAGCGCTGGTGGACAGGGTCAGCAGGGCATGATGGGAAGCAGAGATAAGCAGCGAAGGCTGCACATTGTGAGGCATCAGGCTGCATGGCTGCACCGCATGCATGTAACGACTCTGACACGTGCAAGTCGTAAACATGGGAGTGGGCGACAGCCAGAGCTCAAGAAGCTGACGCCAGCTATTTGACCAAGGTGACACAAGATGCAGGACATGCTCTGAATGGAGATGGCATCCTGTCAACAGATGAGACGAAGTGAACCTATTACGTGCATGCACAGAAGTATTTTACTAGACTAATGCTTGTGCACATCCACCAGGCATGTACTGTAACAGTGCAGCCGTTGCTGTCTTTTGTTTGGGTCTGTTTCTGTTTGTTTCAAAATCTGAAGCGTGCCAGGGGAAAGTGGTGGAATGCTGAGTGATTGATGTGCCTAGCTCTAGTAATACACATTCCCTTTCAGATAGGAAGTGCAACAGTGCTTAAAATCAATACCAGTGTTCTCCCACTGACTGCTTGAACAGCGCTACAGCTAATTCAGGCCGTACC